CAATAACTTCAGTGGTTTGCTTCCACTTAAGGCACTGACACATTGCACTTACCTTCGAGTTATTGATCTTAGCTCCAACAATTTATCCGGTCAATTGACAACTGAGTTTGCTTTCTGCATGCATCTTCCTTCTCTAAGCAAACTAATACTTGCTGATAACTTCATCTCCGGTGAGATTCCATCAGAGATTAGTGATTGTATCAATCTCAGTACAATAGATTTTAGCTTCAACGACACGACAGGTCCAATTTCTTCGGAAGTTCGGTCTCTGAAGAAACTTGTGAACGTAGTCATGTCGGCTAACAATCTCAACGGGAAATCCCTGACGACTTGTGCACAAAGTCAGCAAGCATTGAGACTCTAGTTCTTGACTACAATGATCTGAGTGGTGTTCTTCCTGCATCTATCACCATGTGCAAGCTCCTAACGTGGGTGTCCATTTCTAATAACAAACTAACAGGTCTCCATTTCTAATAACAATCTAACGGGGCAAAATCCAGATGAACATTGGAAATCTCAAGAATCTTGCGATACTGCAACTGAGCAATAACATGATCATAGGTGAAGCTCCAGATGATTTAGGCAACTGTAAAAGCCTAATATGGCTGGATCTGGGACAAAAACAAGTTGTCCGGTTCTATACCGAGCTCCCTTGCAGCCCAAAGTGGTCTAATTGTGCCTGGAAGACTCTTTATCTGATTCACATTTTGTATTTGTTCATAATTACGCTGATGGAATTAAATGCCCCGGACCTTTGCTAGTTATCCATTTCAAATGGATACCCGAGAGGCTCGCTAACTTCTTCCTTCCTCTTAGTTCTTGCCGGACAGTCAACGAGAATCTACACAGGGACAACTTCATAAACATCTGAGACCAATGGTGGCATGATCTATATCGACTTATCGTACAATTCTCTCACCGGATTGATCCCTGAAGCACTGAATTTGGATGGTAACATGTTGACCGGAAGCATACCTAACTCCTCTGGGAGACTGAAGATGATCAGCATACCTCATCTGTCACGCGATCAGTTGACTGGGGACATTCCCGGTGTTCTGCTTTTGTTTGCGGCTTCATCACAAGCCATTTCGATAGCTTCGATTGTCCAAGGAGTGATTTCAGCTTGTTTCAAAGGGGGGTAAAAACGAAAGAAGAGCTCAATCTAGGCAGAGAAGGCCATGACAAAATCAGGTGTTAATTGTTCATAAAGACGGAGGGATTAGATCTTCGAGCTGCAATCATCATCAGTGATCAGCAGATGCTTAATTTTGGATTATATTTTGTTGGGTGAGGTGATGGATTGGATTTGTAGCTATGAGAAACATTCTAGTACTTTTCAGTCGCTTCAATTCTGAGTTCTATAGTATATGCTATATCCGTAGTTATTTTCGTTTATGTTAATTTTAGTTTGTACCTTCATTTGATTTGGCTTGCGTCTTTACAAGTTGTACGCCACAGACCAACGCTTCAAGACATTTGGTGATTGAGTATTGTAGCCATCTAGCCTTTACCTACGCCTCAACTTTTGTTCTCTGGTATAACGTAAAGTAACTTTAACATAGCATGAAAATTTCCAGGTTTTTAAATCGGTGAGCGTTTAAAAAGTGTATTAAAAAAAATACTGTGCGCCTAAACCCACACTCCGCGCATTTAAAATAAAACTTAATAAGTTGCTTTTAAATAGTCCTAGCATAGTTGTTATTTAAAGATTACTGTAACTCTTTATTTGATGCCATTAACTTACTGCAAATGATTTAAAATAGGCCAGAATGTCCTTGTAAAAGACGCTGAAAAGAAAGCAAGTGCTAAAAACACTATGCTCATAATAATGCACTATGTGAGAGACTTGGGCGCGTTTGGTTCATTGTTATTGTAAGAATTGTACATTACAACTGCAGTTACATGCAACTGGAAAGACCAGTCGCACATGTTTATTTCACCGTGATTCATAAATATAGGTGCAAAATGAGCTCCATTTGACATTTGACAACTTGCACATATTTGGACTAACTAGCATTACAACTTTTTGATTAGGCAGACGAGTTTGAATTGCAGCTCCAATTTCTACCCGACCCCAAACTAACTTGAAAAGAACTAGACCCTAATACAAGTGTGCAAATCATGATTGAGCATCTCACATGTGAGCCGAGCATTCTCTAGCTCATTCGTCCTCCTAAAACAAACACTGAAACTATAACTTAGAAATTTTAAATTTTAAATTTGAACCATGCAACTACAACTACGATTACAAGCAACAGCAGATGCAGCAACTGCAGTTAAAAGCAACCAACAATTACTCTAGAATTACAATTGCAACGAAACCAACAACCCTTTACTAAAACCACCTCTTCTCAAAAGTCTATGCTCAAAGATTTCAGCATCCATTTCAAACGCAATAGAACATTTCCCTTTGATTCTCTGCTTGATTTCACATAGCTAGCTGATGTTTTTTTTTAAATCTTGATATGTTTTTCTTCAATTAAGAGACAATATATCCGCACCCTTCAACTTAAATTTTACACATAAATCTCACATGGTATTGACGGATACCTCGAAATGATCCGACACTATCCTACCTTTCGATGGTTCATAAACCATTAAAAAAATCTTGATCAAATAATTTATGAATGACTAGAAAAAGTTAGAAAAGCATATTCCAACTCCTCAATTTACTATCTCGTTACACCAACAAATCTGCAGTCTGATTTCCTTCGCATAAATATCAGATCCTCTCCACTGGGGTTGCCAAAAATACGACTTACAAACATCTCTGCAAATAGGGTGATTAAAGATTTAGTTAGAGCCAGGCTTTCGAAGAAAATTGCTAGAGGAAAATCCTCAACGTACACCACAAGAAAAATTAAGCTCAAATTATTAACATGAGTTCAAATGAAACAGAATAATGAATCTCACCTCTGATAGCATATTTCTGGACTTCTTTAGTGATGAGCGCAATATACCATCACAGATGTAATGCTGCCGATATTAAGAACTTTCCCTTTGCCGTCTCATGAATATGGTTTCAAAATTTTGTTCAACTATTTCAGAATTCGGCGAACAATAACACCTCATCCTCGTATCATTAGAGCCCGTCTTCAGCAAATATAGTAGTGCACACATCATTCTTGAATATGAGACCAAAATATGCTATAAACACACATTTTCCCAAACTGAATGGATGACAAATTAAATTCACATGAACACGAGAATGTAATAAATCAAAAACAAAATAATCATAGAGGAAACCAAATAAAAGCAAGAATCACAGTCATGCCCAGCTGCAAATACTGAAAGAACTGATCTCTCTTTGTAGCTGCAAACAATTATATTACAAGCTACTGCCATTCAGAATGTTCAGCTAGAAAAGAAACCAATGGAATTAACAAAACAAAGATTAAGCATAGGGCTAAACAAACACAGTCATATGGAAAGTTTCTTTATGCTCGTTTATGTCATAATCCTTCGAACTACGAGAGAAAAGATGTTTTCATTGACCTATGAGAGAAAAGACATTTAAGAGCCTTTGTAGTTAGATTACTCGAGCTTAGTAACCAATGTAATATCTCCTTTCCAACACACCGTCAACAAATACTTCAACCCTCAGTACCAGCTCCTAAAACACAGAATTTTCAGTAATAATTAGTAGGCTACTTTATGATAAATGCAAAGAACACATAACTAGAAGCATTTGAAGAAGAAAAAGAAGTGGAGACACAATTGCACATCATAAAAGAGTTGACGATACAGGTTACGCATTTTAACATCATATAGAAAATATTAAAATCATAATGAGAAGTTTGAATACCAAAAACAAAAATTAATACATCATCCAAGCCATTTCGAATCTTTTCTAGTTATAACCTGTAGGACCATACTTATGAAATTTGCAGAACCCCCTCGATCTGCTATACAGTTCGCCTGTTCCAGAATGCAGTATGTTTTCATACTGTGCTCTGGTGGGCAAATTTTAGCATTACAGATGGAGCTGTTTTGGCTCGGATTTAGATGGACATGCACCTGATGCTAAGGGGAAGAATTTGGAAAACGAAAACATTTACAAAGTTGCTTAGTCTATAATTTATATGTTTTCTGTGTCTACATATTCATGGATTTTGAAAGAGGAGCATTGAAGTATTTTGTAGCAAAATATTTTTAATGCTTTAATGCCTCCCTTCCAAAATTTTATTCTGTGTCAGTAACTAAAAAGTTTTCTATGAATTTAATGCATCCCTTCCAAAATATTATCCTGTGACAGTAACTAAAAAGTTTTCTACTATTTGAACAATGGTAGGTGTACCCAAAAACATAACAACATACCCTGAAACTGGCTAGAATAAGGGATCATTAGCTGAAATCGGCTCATAGCCTCACACAGCCCTGAAACTAATACATAATCAAAATTGGATGATGCAGAGCAGAAAGTAGCAGATACAAGTCCTTAACATCAATAACGAGTTTATATACAATGTTCCAAACTCGTTTCTAACAAAAACCTAATGGACGCTACCGAAACCAATACATTTCGCCCGACGCCTCATTTCTCACAATTACAAACCTATAATATATGCTTAGCAGTGATGTTGAGGATGGTATTCACACCATAAAGTAGAAAAGGAGAATAGGATTTTTTTTAATACAGCTCTTCATATGCAAAGTCTCCACTAGAACTCTCAAATCCAATGCAAAATTGCGTATTTATAAGCTAGAATGCAAAACTAAATTAAAGCAAAAATGTGCATTTATAGGCTTAATAATCTAAATTTAAATGAGAATAGAAGTCCTAATAATAAGTAAACTAGAGCTTTCAACAAACTAGAAGCTAATTAATTGCTCCTCTCTTATCAATAAGGCTACAAGAAACTGAAGGAAGTACAATATAATTTTAAAGAAACTAAAAGTCTAAACTAACAAGCTACATTTTATAAATAAGATTCCAAAAAATATTCTCCTAATATCAAAATATTAAAAGAATTAGATCCAACTCTAAATTCTAGTCATACTAAGATTTCCTCAATTCTAATAAAACTGTGAAATCTGCAATCCAACTAGATTATCCTCAATCCTAATCAAATCAAAATTTCTCCCAGTGAGATGAATGCTTGACTAGCTATCTCTAACTCATTTACTTCATTAAGTCGTTTTGCATCAAATCTTATCTGTTTTGAGAAAATTTGACCTCGAATTTTATAGTGGCATAAATAATGAATATCGAATATTGTAGGTATTGTTGCATGAGCAACAAAGAAGTGATCAAAATTAAGCGCATAGCTTAACTAAGAAGAGGTGGGGAAGAATTTTGGATAACAAAGTTCATCTTCATGAAATTGAAGTGTGACAGTAAAGGAAAAAAATCCAACAAAGTTTTTGCTTCTACCATAAAGATCTCGAATAAAAAACACAATAAACCAAATCTTTTTCTTTTGATTGAATTTGATGTAAGATCTTCTTGGTGAAGAAATTAGATTGTGCCTCGGGTTAAACCTTCAGTTCAGCATCAAAATCAGTTATGGCTCAGGCTAGGGCTCTAGTTTTGCTCCACCTCCAGATCCAGATTAGACTCTTAACTTGGGCTCCAATCTTGACTTCAGTTATAATTTTGGATCTGACTCGGTCTCAGATTTTAAAGCAATATCTTGCCGCTGGGCCTCTGATGATAACTCAGGCTCAAGTTTCAGTTTAGGCTCTGATCTGGCTCGGTTTAGAACTTGGACTCTGCTACTAACTTTGATGTTGATGTTGGCTGAGGCTCTGGTTCAGATGGCCATCAGTGAGGAGTAAGATACAAGTGAAGATGAAGCTTCATGTGTGAACATATTTGACGACCACTGTGAGGTTTACTTTCACATGCTTGTCCAACTAAATTATGTTTGGCATACAAATATTTTTTTTTCAACCAGTAAGTCAAAAGAAGGGGAAAAAACTTCTCTTAATCTTTAAAAACAAAATCGATCATCAAAACCTTGAAAAAACTAGAACACCTTCATAAATAATTAAATATCATGCTCAACTTAAATAGAATTTTTCTGTAGTCTGCATAGTGGCGAATATAACAAAACCCTACGAAAAGCAACTTAATCTAATACCAATTAACATGGAACATGTAGCAACAAAGAAGAATGAAATGTAGAAGAAGACATTAAGATTTTCACTTCATGTCAATGTTCACAGGAATTATCGAATCCAATTAAATAAAATAATTTTTCTAGAATTCTAAACACACTAAAGTTCTAAAAAATCTAATTATATGTTACAGATAAAGTAATAAGAAATTTTTACTAGTTGGACTATTAAAATTCATAAAATAAAACAACACTATAACCTAATAACCTAATAATATTAGAATTTCTTTGGTCCAAATAAAATTAGTAAATGTCAATCCTAAATTCCTACTCAAACTATAACTTCTTCCACCAAGATGAAGCATTAACTAGCTATCTCCAATCTCTGGCCTTCATATTGGACTCAAGAAGTTGTTTTCTTTACTATTTCATTGCATAAGTACACATATTTCCCTTTCAATGAATCTCTCCATACAGAAGTTCGCAAGATACAGCCAACTTCCCGAGGCCTGATCTTGATTTATTCTGCCCTTTTTAACTAGATTAAGTTACAAATGGCAAGCCAAGGAATAAGTGAGATAAAACTCAATGATGATCAACTTCTCACTAAAACGAACGAAACTTTCCAACAAAAAATAAGTTGAAAAAAATTCAACAGAACATATGAATCTAAATAATCAAGACCATTAGTGATGTTAGTTAAAGAATATTAATGAAAAACAGTCTGAAGATTGAAGAATCCTTAGTGCTAACAAGAATTTTCTTGACATCACCCAAAACTCAATAGAGACTAGCCGCAAGCTCAGTGTTTTGTAGATTGATTGTCAAACTAAAAAAAATTAATTGGATCTTTATAATCCCATGGAAACATCAAAAGAACAAACCCCGACTATGTGAAAAATAATTTCTAGACAAACAAAGATGGAGATTGACCTTCTCAAAGCAATTAGTATAGTAAGGAAACTCTACAATACATTACATTATTCTTACTAGTATTTGCCTCACAGATAAATGATTACTCGAGTATACAATTAAAAATAATAAACTATCTGAGAAATTTTAGGATCGCATTCCAAGTCATGAAGGATGAAGTATTGAAAGTACAGGTTAATATTAAAATTAAAGCATTTAGAAAAGACAAACCTTTTTGCCACATTCATTCAAGACAGAAAACCAATTGTGAAGTTTTTTTCTTAGTACTTATTCTTAGTTAAATTGATAATCCTTTCAGATTATCCTTTAAGTACGTGATGCGAAACGGAACATAGGGTCTATCAGAATCAACGATTTAATTCGAATAATACAACGTTTCGCCAAAATTCATGATCTTCGGTAGGAAATTAATTAAAGTAGTTAATGTGACAGATGGATTTAAACAAGATTTGCAACGATAACCATGAACAATTCCAATCTTAAATATTTTAATCGCAATATTAATTATCATTACGCAAATTCTACAATCAATATCAAAATTAATCAGTCACATGTTCAGTTACTCTCAACTCACAATATAATTTAAGCAGTGAATATATGATAAGAGTTTAGAGATGTATTATTCGTGCAATTAACTAATAAAGATGAGATTAACAGAAAAGTAATGAGTTGAAAGAAACGATACCATCGTCGGACCTTGAATCAAATATGAACCCGGTTCAACTAAACCCGGTTCGGGTCTGAACCACAACACTCAAACCCAAATGAAATAGAACGGGTCTGATCAAAAGCAAACCAGATCTGAAATGCTCTCACTGTGTGTTCCTCGATCTGAAAGGAGAAGAGGACGAATGATGGGTTGGAGGATGAGGAACAACGATCTCGATGCGGTGGAGTGAGGCTTTGGTCGGGACCCAGAGGTTGTACTCGAGGATCCTGTCGGAGGATGTCGTCGCAGGAGGATGAGGGCTTCGTCGGTGGCGTCGACGACGACAAACTGAGAATCGACGGAGGTGGAGGAGGAGCGGCGGTTGAGGCTGTCAATCGAACTCGCCGAGGTGGAGAGGACTGGTCGTTCTCGTCGCTGTGTGTTGGCGGAAGCAAGGGTTTCGTGAGGGCGACGTGGAAGTGAGGTTGGGGCGGCGTTGGGTTTTAACGAAAGAAGGGAGGGAGCGATGCTGGGGTTTTGTGAGTGGAGATGAGAGATGGGGTGAAGACGATGAACAGTGTTTATTTTGATTTTTTTTTTCACTTTTCTGGCGGCTGGAAAATAGAAGAGGAGAGAAACAAAATTATCAGCTAGGGTTTCACACCCATTGGTTTCACACCAAAGATTTAGCTAATACAATTTTATTTCATTTCATTCATCAATCAATGATTTTTTTTTTTCATGATTACAACAGGGTTTATAAAGAGAAAATATTAGAGATTTGCAAATCTCTCACAAAATCAAATCTCTCAAAATAAAATCTCACCAAATAAAAAAAATCCCTCAAATCACTCAATTACCAAAACTAATAACTACTAAATTTAACCAAATTCGAAATTCAAATTTAAACTACTAAAAACCAAAATAAATAAAAACAAAAGTCAAATAACAACTAATATGGAAGCTTGTCCTCATCATTCTCCCCGGGTGGGAGAAAACTCGACTCCGTCGAGTTAGCTGCAGAAGCTTGTAATCTTCAATATAGTCTGCCTGCATCTTAATCTGCCATCATATACTTTCCTGCATCTCAAATCATTAGTTAAATTGCATTGTAAATTCACCATCTAAAATATTATCAAAATTCACTGCTGCATGGGTGAATATATAGAAGTGGGGTAAAGTGAAAGAACTCTCAGAAATAATAGGTTAGGGCCAGGCTTATATCAGTGGACTGCCAATAACATTGTGAACTGCTTAATCAATCAATATTGAGAATAGAACTATGACCAAATCGATAATATAAATGTTGCTATTAATTAGTTCAAGAGTTGGAAAAGCTCATAAATATCATGTCAAATCTTAAACAGCAATAAAGAACTGTATTGGATAAGTCCAAACCATCTAAAATATCAGCATTAACAATTTTAAATAACGTCCTGACTCCATATCATATATTTCAGCTAACAATGTATTTATTCAAATTAGATCACTGATTCCCCAATATATGATCAATGCAAAATAACAGTGATGTAAATCAACTCAAATGAGTATGTATGAAATGCAGACTCGAACAATACAATCAATGGCAGATGTAAACTCATCGAAGTATCTAACATGCATGACGTGCTCTATCAAATGGAATAATTAGGCGTTCCTTTGTTAAAATGCATAAAAAAATTTCTGTCTTAACAGTGATGGTGAGGAACATGCAAGCAATTGTATGACGGAGGAGTGTTTTGTTGTGTTTAACAGGAGAGAGAATGAAAACACTCATGCTCAGACTTATATCCCTAATCACTATATTTTCCCAAAAAGGATCAATATATGTGTGAGTGACGATTGAGACATTGCATGGGGGTTTGGCATCTGATATGGTAGTTATTTCACTATGCTCAATTTTGGATTCAACTTCCATATAGATATCTGAGGAATTCGCTTTCGGAACCAAATCAGGAACATGTTGGGTGTCATGTTTGTCCGGAAGGACTTCGTGGTGAACATCAACAACATTTTCAATTACTGGAGTTGGTTCTGAAGGAGTTAGAGTTTCGATTTCAAGAACAACTTCAGGGATAACATCAGTGGACTCCGTGATCAAATGGGTAGCTTGGGGAATAACCGGAGTGTCGTCAATGCATGAAACTTCAGTTAACTCCACAATTGTTGGGGTAGTTTCAGAAGATACAGAAGTGTATGGTTCTTCGATTATACTACCCTGTATTTTCTTGTCAGAGTTAGATTCTGTCAAATTTACGGCCTGAGTAACGGTTTCCTCAATAATAGATTTTGATTCAGTTATAGGCGGCTTATTACTTCTAACTCTGAACGGAGTTGTACAAACGGATGCAACGTGCCCATATCCTTGACAATTGTAACATTGCATTATTGGGCTAGGTTTGGAGAGAGATCTTTCTGACTTCTGATCCTTGGGATCGACACTAGACCGGGAAGAACTAGGGTTAGGTCGACTCAGAGGCTGACTAGAGGTATTGGCACAGGAAAACTGGGAGGAATGAGTTTGACAATCCTAAGCCCTAAGAGATTGGTGGAATTTGGCTTCATCTAACTCTTGAACTAAGGCGTAAGCTCTCTCAATGGTGTTTACTCCTCTAGCAAAGAGTTCGGTTTGGAGGTCGCTTTTTAATCCAGCTCTAAATTTTGATAAGACTTTCGTCGGTGCCTCTGGTTCAATGGTGCTGCATCGAGTAAACAATTCATCAAATTGAGCAACGTATTCTTTTGCAGATTTGGTTCCCTGAGTAAGACAATGCCACTTATCTAGCAATCTATAAATAAACGATGACGGAAGATATTTTCGTTTCAGTTCGTCGGTCATTTCTCGCCAAGTAAAAATTGTTAACTCACCTCTAATATGCCTTATCATTTCAAAGTTAGACCAATATTGGCAAGCGGGTCCGGTGAGCTTCATTGTGGCAAACTTGACTTTTTGGGATTCCGTCAGGGCGTACCAATCAAAGTAGAGATCCATGCTCTTCAGTCAGTCAAAGAAAGTTTCTGGGTCGAGCCTATCATCAAAGGTTGGTGGATCAGGCACGGGTTGAGGTGGGGGTCGATGAACTATGTATCCATGACCTTGCGGTGGGTATCCATAGCCTTGACCTTGTGGCGGCGGAGTTGTAATCCACATTTTTTTTAAACCTCACTAATCTTTCGTGGGTCTCATCAATTAGTGCTGCTAGTTCAGCGAATTTCTCAAGGAATTCGGGATCTGTGTTACCTGACAGGCTGGACTCACTAGATGATTCACTAGACTCTCCTAATCAGGGTAGATCTGTGCGAGTGGACATGCACTAACAATTAGATGAGATGAATGGTGTGCACAAACAACTAAATGAGATGAATGCGTTTTTTTTTAATATCAAATAAAAGACTCAACTAAAAAAATTAAAAAAAAAATTCCTACCCTAGAACCATGCTCTGATACCAAAAATGATGCGAAACGGAACATGGGGTCTATCAGAATCAGCGATTTAATTCGAATAATACAACGTTTCGCCAAAATTCATGATCTTCGGTAGGAAATTAATTAAAGTAGTTAATGTGACAGATGGATTTAAACAAGATTTGCAACGATAACCATGAACAATTCCAATCTTAAATATTTTAATCGCAATATTAATTATCATTACGCAAATTCTACAATCAATATCAAAATTAATCAGTCACATGTTCAGTTACTCTCAACTCACAATATAATTTAAGCAGTGAATATATGATAAGAGTTTAGAGATGTATTATTCATGCAATTAACTAATAAAGATGAGATTAACAGAAAAGTAATGAGTTGAAAGAAACGATACCATCGTCGGACCTTGAATCAAATATGAACCCGGTTCAACTAAACCCGGTTCGGGTCTGAACCACAACACTCAAACCCAAATGAAATAGAACGGGTCTGATCAAAAGCAAACCAGATCTGAAATGCTCTCACTGTGTGTTCCTCGATCTGAAAGGAGAAGAGGACGAATGATGGGTTGGAGGATGAGGAACAACGATCTCGATGCGGTGGAGTGAGGCTTTGGTCGGGACCCAGAGGTTGTACTCGAGGATCCTGTCGGAGGATGTCGTCGCAGGAGGATGAGGGCTTCGTCGGTGGCGTCGACGACGACAAACTGAGAATCGACGGAGGTGGAGGAGGAGCGGCGGTTGAGGCTGTCAATCGAACTCGCCGAGGTGGAGAGGACTGGTCGTTCTCGTCGCTGTGTGTTGGCGGAAGCAAGGGTTTCGTGAGGGCGACGTGGAAGTGAGGTTGGGGCGGCGTTGGGTTTTAACGAAAGAAGGGAGGGAGCGATGCTGGGGTTTTGTGAGTGGAGATGAGAGATTGGGTGAAGACGATGAACAGTGTTTAATTTGATTTTTTTTTTTCACTTTTCTGGCGGCTGGAAAATAGAAGAGGAGAGAAACAAAATTATCAGCTAGGGTTTCACACCCATTGGTTTCACACCAAAGATTTAGCTAATACAATTTTATTTCATTTCATTCATCAATCAATGATTTTTTTTTCATGATTACAGCAGGGTTTATAAAGAGAAAATATTAGAGATTTGCAAATCTCTCACAAAATCAAATCTCTCAAAATAAAATCTCACCAAATAAAAAAAATCCCTCGAATCACTCAATTACCAAAACTGATAACTACTAAATTTAACCAAATTCGAAATTCAAATTTAAACTACTAAAAACCGAAATAAATAAAAACAAAAGTCAAATAACAACTAATATGGAAGCTTGTCCTCATCAGTACGTGTTTTAAATCCTAAGTCCTCATGACAAGAGAGACGTCCATTTAAACAAAAATTTCATTTTCAAGATGCATCCACAAAGAAAGTTGATGAATAATGAAATGTAAGCTTAAAAAAAGGTTTTGGTCAAGATCCATCCAATAGGCATAAAACTTGAGAAGAGCATGATTGAAAGCTCATTAGTAGAAAACTGACAAGGAACTAAAGCCAGTAGTAATCCTGCACGGTAGTGCAGTTACTCAAGTGTGTCTGTTTGTGCACACGTGGTTGGGCATGCACGTGGTATATTGTTTGAGAAAGGCGCAGTGAAGCACTGTACTGAAATATGGTGGGTAATTAACACAGAGAATGATATGTGCGGTTTTTTGTTATATCAAGACATTGGTTATCGCTGAGGGTTGGCTCTCAAGCATAATACGGGCACATGATAGTCAGTTATCAAAAAGAACAAGAATTTCAAATACTTTAGTCATTCGTTGTTGTAAATCAGAGCCAACCTAGATGCAAAAAAGTGACAATACATTGTAAGATAACAAAATGGTAGATATTTGAAGAGGAAATAAAAATAAAACAATAAAAGATGACAAATGAGTGAAATAATTCATATCCCATTGAGCATATTAAGAGATAAAGGACCATGAAGAAAAAAAGAGAAAACCATAAATCGTACCCATCATCTTGTCAGCGTTTGCTGAACAACCAGCTGTCATCCCATTACCATCACCACAAGCAAAAAGCTCCTTCATCCCTGTGCTCGAACTTCCCATGCACTGAATATTCCCAATCTCACAAGTTCCACACCCCTGACCATTCCCGACCATAACTTCTCCCCCTACCTTCCCTTGCATTCCCGGGCGAAGGCAATACATCTGATCATCACACCTCAAATCCTCGCACGAGTTCATAACATGGGCTCCACCCGCACCCATCAAATTCCCCTGCAACATTACATTCCCTGGCTTCTGATAAGGAAATGTTCCAATCTCTCCCTCTATCCTCCCTCTTATATCAACCAACAGACACCTCAGCCTCGCAACCTCTGCCTCCAATGCAGCTTGCCCTTGTAACCTCTTCATAAGCTGCTGATTAACTGCTCTTAAATGGGAAACCTCCTCTTCTAACGAAGCTGCCCGGGCTTTCTTCTTCTCTCTGTATTTTTTAACTGCTTCCCGGTTGCCTAGTGACCTTTTCTTGGTAGGGTTCTTTTCGACAGAGTCGGCGCTTTCATCAGTTGGAGGGGAGAAGATCTTGTGGTGGACATGGTAGCAAGTGTGAGTATGAGGCAGGTCAGTTCCTGGGGGGTTGCAGATGTGGGTGTGGGTGCATGCATGGGTGTCCTTAAGTATTTCGTCGAAGAAGCTGTCCATAGAGCAGCTGCTTGGGAGCTCATTTGTCCCAGAGAACACCTCTGGGTTCGAGAAATCGATGTCACCGTCTTCCATTATTAGATTCAACGACCTAATTTTGTCAAAGAACAAGATAAAAAAAATACAGCTTTTAGTGAAATGTTTCAAGAAACCAACTTAATTCTCCATTGGGAACAAGGAGGAAATTTTTGATTTGATGCTAAATTTGACGGGTGAAATTAAATGCTGTAGAAAAAAATTATATAAATTTGACTAAAATAGTTTTAAAAATCCAATATTTTAAGCATGAGCTGAATTAGAAAAACATGCCATTTTTCAGCAGTAATGGAACCAAGTGAACTAGCTATCAGAGCAAACCCTAAAAACCCTCAAATGAGTAATAAAAATACGAAATTGCCATAAAATCGACATAATTCTGCAGCGAGGGCAAAATGACAAGTCTTGATAGGATGCTGAATTTGTCCGAGATCAAATACAGTAGAAAATAATTAAATAACTTTGCCTAAAATAGCACAAAACTCAATAATTTGACCACAACCTAAATTGGGAAAAAGCTGCCATTTTGAACAGTAATTGAACCAAGTGAAATAGAAACCCTAGAAACCCTAAAACGAGGATCAAAACTAGCGTATCGCCACAAAACATATAAAAGATAGGAATCAACGTAGATATCAATAACAAGAAAGCATAAGCAATTTCGAAACCTAAACTTTCTCAAAAAGATCGCGACTAATTTAACATGAGAAAAAAATTAAAATATAAAGAGGGAAGAGATCACGTA